AGAATCCTTGGCAACTTGGAGAGTTCTTGGGAAAAAACTGAATGACCATGATTGGGGGTTTTGTTGGGAATAACAACTACATAAACATTATGGAGAGTTTACACACTTAGGTGTCCCGTTGCCTCCATTAAACATAATAGAGATCGATGGAATGTTGATGATTTTTGTCTCCTAGCCAAAGTATCTTCATTAAATATAGGAACAAATTTCAGCACAATTGGCCCCACATTAGGCAGTCATCTTAGCAATAGATGTTTCAATCAAGAATTGGGCCACTCTGTATGTGTTTACAATCTTTTTGTCTATTGTCTAAGAGTTGACTCCTTTGAAGTAAAGAACACTAGAACTTCTTGCCTCACAGAGTCACAGTGTAAGGTAAGGAAATAGACGTCATTATATACACTAAGTCTGTGGTGATTCAAGGCCCCATCAGAACACTCCTTGTTCCCTTTAGATTTAAAGACATGTTTGGTACTGATCAAGTTACTTATTTTATTTCTTAAAATATATAACATTGCGTTCTTTTAGCAGGATTCAGTGCAACGTCCATATTCCTTTACACCAAGGGAGCCAAGTTAAATGAAAGGCATAATGATCTCTTCAAAAGAATTACTGTTATAAAGGGGCAAACAGTCAAGCATGAGTTAGAGTAAACCTACATCTCTTAGGGCATACATTCTCTATACCAGTGTCACATATGTCCCCACATGCTCTTTTTTTTTTTTTTTTTTTTGACAGGCAGAGTGGACAGTGAGAGAAAGAGACAGAGAGAAAGATCTTCCTTTTGCCATTGTTTCATTCTCCAATGGCCACTGCGGCCGGCGCACCACGCTGATCCAAAGCCAGAAGCCAGGTGCTTCTCCTGGTCTCCCATTGGGTGCAGGGCCCAAGCACTTGGGCCATCCTCCACTACACTCCTGGGCACAGCAGAGAGCTGGCCTGGAAGAGGGGCAAGCGGGACAGAATCCGGCGCCACGACCAGGACTAGAACCCGGTGTGCCGGCGCCGCAAGGCGGAGGATTAGCCTAGTGAGCCGCGGCGCCGGCCACCCCACATGTTCTTATTAGCTATAAGAGAGACATGTTTTTCATGAGCACTTCAACATTTGGCCTTCTTTCCCATGGTCAAGTGCCTATTTCAAGTCCTTAGAGGTTCTTCTACTCAATTATTTTTAATTTCAATTGTTGTTAACATTTCAATTTAAAACAAGAAAGAGAGCCTGGTAATGTAGGTTGGCACAAGTTGAACACTGAGAGTAAAGAGAAAGACTTAGGGTAAGTGTAAGGTTTAAGGTTAGGGTCTACTGCAAGTTGGCTTATTTTTGTCTCATCTCTTTCATGGGAGGGATTAAGACCAAAGTATATTCAAGAATCTGTTCTACATTAACATTCTGCAATTCAGTTTGACTTAACTAAAAATAGAAAATAAGATTAATCATAAGTTGAGAGATTAGATAATAACTGATGCATACAGATTCAATACCAAGAACGTGTAATGAATTTTTCAAAACTGTATGTGGAAAACATGATTTGAACTCAGATGGAAAGGGAAAAAAATGAAGAAATAAGTTTTTTTTTTAATTTTCATGTACTTTATTTATTTTTGCTAACATTTCTTCATCTTCATTATGTGTTGTGTTGTCAAAAAGTATGACTTTCTTATGTTCTTTTCAAGTAGATCAAATTGTCACATACGCTAGACAAGGTTGTACTGAAAAAATGTTATATACTTACAGAATTATTTCAAAACATAATTAATGAGAAATTTTAACTTGAGATAAAAACTATGCAGTAATAATACTCATTAATTATTATACAGAGAATAAAACAATGTATAGTGCAGATACTACCGCTGACATTAGGAAAAGGATCTAAGATTCTCTGGAATAGTTTAAACTTAATGTAGTTGAAGTCTACTTAGAGAACAAGCATAAAACTTAAAGATAAAGTGAAAAATTTTAAAAATCTTTCTACAAATAAGATTACCTCTCTGCATATTTTGTCCTTTTTATATTATGTTGTTTAAATGCAGCAAGATAAACCCAGCAAAAAAAAAAAAAAAAAAAAAAAAAAACCTCTTCTTCTAAATTCTCCATCTGCCTCATCACCATTCAGATGATCAGCTAATGTGCAAAGAAAGGCAATCTATTTGTATTCAGAAATGTCTCTCAATTATGTACTTTTGTTCAGTTTTCACAAGTCAAGTCTTTAATCTTGCACATTTGTATCCTAGCTAGATATCCACAATAGTCTTTTCTTACCCAACTCCTTGTTTTAAATTTTGATTTATTTATTTGAGAGAGAGATAAGAGATTACTCTCATCCACTGGTTTACTCGCCAAATTCTTGGACATGTCAGCTGGGGCATAGCTGGACTCAAATCTAGGTGCTCAGATATGGGATACAGGCATCCTAATCAGTGTCTTAACAGCCAGGTCAAGCACTCCCTCTCAATTTATTTATTATTTTTTATGTTATGATTTAACTTACTAAACCTAAGTCAGACAAAGATCATTTATATACAGCATTTATTTTCATCTTTTTATTGGTATATTTAAGAATAGGGCAGATTCTTCTCTAGAGTGTAAAAAATGGTTTATCACAAGGAAATATTGCAGCTTAAAATAAACCCTGTGATACCTAAACTTTAAAAATGATGTAATATACCCTTTTCACTCCACATATCTAACTTTTCTTAGATAGGAAGTCAGATATGAGCTTATGTGTGTGTGACACAAAGGTGCAAAGAGTTGACATCTATGCATCTCAAAGTCATCCCGATAAAGTTTTCAGGGGCAGTCCAGTATCTGCATCCTGCCCTGCTCCCTTCTACCCAATAAACTGCCAGTTGGGGGTCTCCACCCCTTCTGCCTGATAATCTTCCAGGTGTAACCCAGTATGTGCATTTCAAATACCCTGCTTGGATCCAGATCCTCCAGGAGGTCTTGCTCACCCTTCCTCTAAACCCAGGGTGGTGCCAGCTAGGCTTCCTCCTGTCTGATACCTTCAGGGGGAAAACTCAGATAGGAGTGTTTTAGTATTTACATCCATAAAGTCTTTTGTTTCAGGAGGAGATGTGTGAAGACAAAGACCCATCTCCTTAAAAACCCCTGGCCTCAACCAGACTGCATGCTCAGCCCTCTGCCTCCATGCTGAGCCACCCAACTGGCCTGGCCAGGTGTAATCCACTCATCCATGTAACCTTACTCTTCCCCCAGTCCGAGCGACTGGGCACTCTCTCTCAGGTATTGCCAATTTTTTTCCTGTTCTGATTCATGAAATTACAGATATCTTATCTTAGGATCAGCGTGGCAACTTGGATCTGAGTATACTTGCAAATATATCATGTGAGTCCATATATCTTTGTGAAAGAAACAACAGAAACAAAATACACATCTTCAAAGACATCCCAATTGGATGGTTTGATATTGTATTTAAAAATAAAATTTACTGTTCCTCATCTTTTTTATTTTTTCTACAGCATATTGTATTTATTTATTTTTTGACAGGTTTTAACTAGAATCACCCAACTACCATTTATTTTCATTATTTTTCTCTTTATTTTTAACTCACATGTGTTGAAATCTAACTCCCTTTCTCACATGCAACATCTTGCTCCCTTGGTCGAATTCAGTTTCACTTGAGATATTTTATTAATATAATTATTATGTAGTCTCACTGTACTCCTTGTAGCCATGTCATAAATATGAGTGGATTTTCCTCAATGTCAAAAGAAATCAGTCATTTATTGCACAGTGCTGAAAAGTGCAAGCCAGCCCTCTGACTATCAAATGTTATTGCATTCCAATCAGACATTTTGAAATTCTAAAGACTAATGAAGAGGGGCACAAATTGTAGGGGTTTGCTAGTGGGATGATTCTCATTCTTCAGGTATTCCTTCATATGAGTTTCTTTTTGCCTATTAATATCCATCCACTTTACACAATCACAGGTGTGTTTTGAGAGAAATACATTGCCAGAAAACTTGTAAATTGGCCATTTCCTCCAGTATTAATTAGAAAATACAACTAAGAATAAGAGAACTCTCACACTTTTGCAAAAGAATACGGAGTGTAGGCTTGTTCCACTCACCATGCCAATGCCTGTTTTCTTTCCTTTTAACACTCAAGAGGAGTTCCTCACAAAGACCAAAATACACAGGGATGAGAATTTTGTTCCAGCTTAGCTGACCGCAATGTTAATTGAATGTTACTCCAAGACAGATTGGTTGAAGAATTACCCAGTGATTACCAACTGCCCTCAAATAATAATAAAAAAGAAAGAAAAGAAAATGTATCTTCAACCTGCAGGATATTTTCAGAATTTCCTACATGAATTAATTTCCTACATAAATTAATAAATTTCTTTTAAAATATAAATGTTCTCTTAAAAGCATTCACTTAATTATATATTAATATAGACTATTTTAATTGGGAAGTTTAAAGTCTAGTTTTTATGACAAGGAAATAGAACTTTAATTGACTCAAAAGAAAAGTGATAACTGTGCAATTTTCAAAGGCCAAATATTAGGTCTAGGAGCCAGGGTCTGTCAGACTAAGGAATGCAACTTCAAGAAGCCTACAATCAGAATCATTAAAACAATCAAATTCTATCAAGCATACACTAAAAATTGCCCATATTCCCTCTTATAATAGTTTTGCCAAAAATTATGATTCTGCCAAATATGTGGTATTCTCAACAAATATTTACCTGTATTAAAATAGATATGCAGAATGGACAGTAGAAAAATCAGATAAGTGTGTCTTGCTGCAATCACACCTGTGTATTTTTCAGTAGTAGTGAAAGTTGCAAAGCAGAGCTCAGTGAGATGACTAGCACTCAGTGAGATTTGTTTTATTTCCTGGAATCTTTGCTAGTGATAGATGGAGATGTAATTGTGAACAGGGCTGATAAGTGGATATGAAAGGCAAGCCTACATGTTTCGAAATTGGCACTGTTTAGATACAACCCTACAGCAGTCTGTAATTTTTGACAAAGGGATTATTCTCATGGGTAAACTTTATTGTGTACTTTCAGTAACCAAGAACAGTGGAAAAGTGATGCAAAATGATATTAATAATAACACATACCACTTACTATGTTTAGCAGTGTGCCACACATTTCTACATCACCCAGCTCAAGTAGTTCTCAAAAAATCCTGCAACCAGTTGCACTTATCTGTATTTTACGAAGGGTAAAGATTAAGATTCAGATGTGAAATAACTTTTCAAAAATATCTTCTCTGACTTTCCACAGCATTAAATAAGTTTAAATTTGAAATAGCGATCATATGGTGCAGTGCTTTTCAAACATTTTGGGAAATGATTCACAGTAAGAAACGTATTTCACATTCTGACCTATTTCACACGTGTACCTCAAAAAAGTTGCACAAAGAGCTATTGCTTTTACATGAATGATGTTTTTGATACTTTTCTACCTTATTCTTCTTATTTTTGCTTTTACATTATCATCTTGATACATTAAATTGATTTCATAATTCACTGATGGATTTTGATGGCAAATGTTGATACTTTATTATTTGGTCATTTAATTTTTAGATACTTTCCTGTAGTTCCCCTGGTTCCCAAAATGAACTAGAATTTCCTTGAAGTCAGATACTATCATAATTTTGATACTTCCTCATTATCAGGTCTCAGTAAATGTGTGTAATCTAATACAGTTTAATTTTACTTCTAAAAATAATAATCTTGGTTGAATGAAACGGTGAATGGTATGATTCCCAGGAAGAATAAAAGTCAGGAATAAGAGGTTGAGATCTGCAGGGGAACCAAGGCAACCCACAATTACAGCTGAAAACATTTCCTTGGGAACTGTCATTCCTATATATTTCATTTAGTGCCTTTCCATCATAGAGTTGTTTTCATTAGATCCTCAAAGTGAGAGGAACACCAGTTCTCCCCTTATTTCCTTGTAAAATGAATCATGGTCAAGATGGTGTAGTTTGACCTTATGAAAACCATTTACACAAACCACAGATGAGATTAGGAAATACAACTTTTTGTCTACTACATTCCAGCTATTTTAGAATCTAAACTTATAAAGAGTTAACACAGATTATATTTAGAATGTAAATAAAGCCTATACCTTAATTCATATTTGCTTCTTGGAAAATGATACCCATATAGATTTTATGTTTTTCCTTAGGGATCTATCAACTTCAAATATGAAATGATGTGTTTCTAAAATTTGAGATAAAGTATTTTCCTTTTATTATTTGAAGGCACCACTATCTGATGTACAATATCGCGCTTTTTTGTGGAAGCTTGGTATACTATAAATTAAAAAAAGAAAGTAATTAAAGCAGCATCATGTGAAAACATACACTTAAAAGGTTCATTGTTGGCATTATGGGAATCATATGAAACTAAATGCCTACTTTCAAACTATAAATACAGTGAAAGCCTTTAAAATCTAACATATGTTGCTTCAAATAATACTCAGTTTTGAACAGATGTCCCCTTAGACCTGTTACATTAACTCTAAAATTACTAAATCATCGTTTTTAGACCTAGAGCCATATTTTGCCACTCATTTGTATTCAAAGCTCCCACAGGCGTCAGTGGAAGATCCATGCATGGAAAAATGGCATGATATGTATCCTAGTTTTATTTATTTCATATGTATACAGCAGTATAAAATAATATATTACATTTACACTCATTTTACTTATGTATTATTATAGCATTCACAGTAACAAACACTATAGTTAAGATTGAAACTCATCTTTTAATACCCTGTTTTCACTCACAGATAACTGTCTCAAAAATGTGTCTAGAGCTGAAATTCCCTGCTTACCTTCAGCTCGAGGATGTTTGGATGTATTAGAAGTCCGAGTTCTGCCCTTCAGAAATCTTTGAGCCTCATGAAAATTTAATATTTTTGCATCATGAATGCAATATTTTCATGCAACTCAAAAACTTCTGGAGAGTAAAAGTTCAAACTAAGAATGTGACAAGATTTCAAGAAAGAAAAGCCATGTTTCTAATTTTACAAATACTTATAAAATAACAATGATTAGAAATACACGCATGCACACGAAAGGTATTAGAATTTTAGTCATATTATTGCCTGCAATACTCTGGCGGCGCCCACCTACTGGCATTCTTAGGGAATGCAATAATCTAAAACCTATACCAAGTTTGAAGAAAATACTCTACTGAACAGTTTCACAAATTACTGTATAAGGATTTTGTTTGACTTAGCAGAGGGATACTCCTTGAAATCCTAACAATATATAAAATAATTTTACTACTCCATGGTGTAAAAAATATGGAATTTTATCATTTCTGTTTTTCCTTGTTAAAAAGGAACATAAAAAGGATGTTAAGTGCAAAGCCTTTACCGCTACAAAATTAGAGTTGAAAAAGATAAAGAACCCAAGAAATTGTAATATGAAAAATATAAGATTTTCAATAAAATCATCAAGTATACCAATGCTTTAAGTGTTTTTAAATTCCTTGGGTATTAATAGCACACTTAGAAATATGTGTGTGGGGAGGAACACATGTCATGACAAATAATGGTGCTATTATCAGTAAATAACACATATATTGTTCTTTATCTTGCTTAACATTTGCCACATTCTGGCTAAGTAGTTATAGAAAATTAATTAAACTCTAATAATAATTTTTGAAAGGTGAAATGATACAGTAAGTGCACAGCTACCAAAATTTATGTTGGGAATTGTAAAGATGATCTGTTCTCCCCGTATTGCAGAAGCAGGAGAGCTTCTATATTACAGAATATTTCATGGCAAATCGCAACACAATGAAGAAATGCAACAGAGAAGGAGTAACTGAGATATTTAAGTCTTTCAATATAGTTCTTAATTTGCAATGTTTGATAAAGGCATCGCATTTAATATCTTTATAAAAGAAGTTATATGTATTTCCATAACATTACTTAAGAAAAGATGGTACACGTGTATTATTCACATCATTGTATCTGTAAATTAATTCTGATGTATTATTGAAATTTTTGAGTAAAAATTATTTTACAAATGATGGTCACAAGTTAAAAATCATAATTTTACATATGGATGAAACATTTCTACAAATTGTCATTTGACATACCTTTGAAACATTAAATACACTGTTTCCACAGGAAAATTCTTTTTTGATTTTTACTGCTCTAAAATTAATGATGTTGACAAGAAGTAACTGCCACAATTATTGTTTTATGAAATAGTTTACTAATGAAATACTACCTAATCAGCTGGATATTATTTTTCTCTGCTGTGCATAAAAATTATGGACGATCAGATATTAGGATGATCAGATGAAATAGAAAATCTATTCTAAAGTTTCTTGACATGCTAATCTAGTAAATGTTTATTGGAAACTCCCATTATTCATTGGTTGCCCTTTCCATTTTATATGCTCCCTCATTGGTTGATAACATTTTTCCTCAATTTACTAAAGTCATATCCTTATTGTGTTGTAACTTTTTGGTTATTCTGGAGAAAATATGACTGATGATGTCAAGAATTAGTATTTTATTTTTAAAAAAAGTTGTTCCATAAATTGGGTAATATTTTTGTTTTTCTTGTTTTTACAGATTGAATATATAATTTAAAAACTAAATTGAAAATTAATGTAACTAATAACTAGGAAATGTAAGACAACTAATACACAAACACATGGCCTGAAAAGACAGTGCCTAGGAGATTATATACAACAATATTAATGATCAAATAATTAAAGAAAATTAATATAAATGAAAAGAATTAATGTAGCTATCACATATGAAGTGAATTTTAGGTCAGATGAATTAGTACAGCTATTTTATATGAAGTGAATATAATCTTATTTTCAGTGCATATAAAGAGGAAGATGGATGTAGACTTTCCCCCATGAAAAATGGTGCCTGATAGGTTTTAATTAAAGTCGAGTGATTCAACAAGAAAAGTATTTTCTTGTTTAAAAAGCAATTAGAACAAACAGATTTTTTCCACTTAAATTATATATATAAACATTTCCTTACTAAAATAGTCTATCCTTCAAAATACTAATGTAGTAATGCCGAGTTTGAGAAAATGTTACTGCTGCACTTGGTGAATATATGTGCTTTTTGTATTACATACGGTTGATTAGCTTTATATATTTTTAAAGGGTCCCCAAAAAACCGGAACATTACACACAATAATTTGACATATAAACTGATTGGGATTATGACATGTTAATATCTAATTTGATAACTGTCAACAAATCACTCTAAACATATACATCCAAGACCTATGAATATATGTATGCATTTAAAGGTCAAACCTAAGAAAAAATTTTCCATTTACATTACATAAAATTAATGTAAAGTATACTTGTGTTAAATGTTAGTCTATTCTCTAATAACATAGCACAGCTCAATCTATCATCGAACATAAAATCAGTTAAAAATTAAGGGAAGTATTTCAAAATAGGTCTATAATTGGAAGTGGGCAAACATTTTGATATAATGTTGAAGACATCACAGAGGGACGCTTAACAATTTTGTTTTTGTTGTTCTTGTTGATGGGAAGATCAGCTCACATTCTTTAGTTTTTTCTCTCTTATTTGGATTTCAACAAGCAATAACCAACACTAGAAAAAAAATGTGTGAAAGAAAGGAAAATGCGTCTTACTGAATTTAATAATTAGTCCTGTAACATCAAAGTAAAAGACAAGCTTAACTTTTCAAAGTCGATTCATAAAGAATTTTCTAATTAATAACACTGACTCTATTTCAAATATAAATTTTTCACACATAATACCGAAACAATGATGTACCATGTTTCTATCTCCAAACTTATTTAATTTGTCATAAATTTAGAGATCTGCTAGATCATATAGTTGTTCTTTACCAGTTCAGGTATTCCTATGTCTCTATATATTCATATAGAGTTATAAATAGATTTTATGCCCATGTGTAATTAAAAGTCACAAATCTATGTAAAACTACGTAAAATAAAATTCCGCATGGAATCTATGATTGAAGACCTTTTAAAATAGTCATCTTCAAATACATATTTTACACCACAAAATGTACAGACACCCAGTTTTTTTTTTCTAACAACAAATACAGGTGAATTTATAGATTCTTTATAAAAGCTTTTAAGTGATTCTAAGTTCAAAGCCATAGAAATAGAATTGGAATTATGTAGATTGTTAGATAGTTTGATAGTACATATTCAGTGCTCCGTCTGATAACATTGACAGCTACATCTTTGGCATTGAAAATTCGTATATGAGTTCTCGACAAAATTTCGTAGCTTAGAGCTTCATTTTCTTTTAAACAAGGAAAAACAGGGTTGAATAACATATGAAAACTGGGAGGACACCACTTATGATTTTCTTTCTTACTATGTTTATCTTTGGGACCCTGAATTACCTTTTACTTTATTGTATGATGTGGACTGTATGAATCCATTTAAAAACCAACTGAGTTGTACCACATTTTAGGAAAATTATATAATATAATATATATATTTTATATTTATTTAGAAGCTTTGAAATAGTACAGTAAACACTTTGCAACACGGTGTATAAACTACAGAATGTCTTTGATATTTTGTGGGTCTTCAGAATACAACATTTTTTATAACCCACAGGTGAAAAGAACATAATCACAATCTCTCTTGTAAAGTTGGAATAGTTTGGGGAACACTTGATCACACAAAAATAATATAAAACAGTCAAGTTTAAAACAGTGATATTGCATTTATAATGCACAAATTTTCCTTTATCTTTATGACTGGCTTCTCGTGGTGAATATAAACATCTAAAGGGCTCAGTGACATTTGGAGAGAGAAAGATATATAGTGCTGTAAACAGGCACACACTGATCGGAGAGGCAAAAGTCAGTTGCCTCCAAAGTTTCTACAGTTCTGCACATTTCAACTCATTTCTCAGGCCTGCTGAGAGCAATTAGGTCCTATAATTGGCCACGATGACTCCGCTGGAAATCTAATACTCAGTTACACACACTAACTGGATGGCCAAGATAATGAAGTTGAAAAGTTGATGCTTTTGTTGGTCGACTTTGTGCAAATCATGCTGCTTCAGGTAAGTTCTGTAGAATTGACTAGCATATCCTTTTCCGTGCTGTGAAGAGAAAAAAAAATACTCTAAGAAAAAGTGGTGGAATTTAGGAGCTTCTCACTGCATGTTATTGGAAAATCAATCAGTACTATTGCAAACGAGTTGTATCCCCACCCCAGACCTACACTGGGTTAAAATATTTCAGTGCTGCTGTGGGTTCTGGTGGTCACAATCATCTTGCTAACATTTGCTTTTATGAAAATGACAGTTTTGACACATAAATCAGCTTTGCACAGTATATGTAATTTTATATACCAAACATCGATTATGTGAAAATACAAAATTATTTTTACTTCGCTATTTATGCAAAATCGAAGCATAAAAAGTGACCCTTACATTTCTGACACAAGTACTTAGAAAAAGCTGTGAATAACCTGACACATATTTAATTTAACAAATTCTAAATATTGTGTATTAAAACTAATAGATAAGTGTACCAGAAAGTGTGTAGATAATTTAAAATTTTTGAAATGATTCACATTTTCTTGGATTATTTGATCTCATTTTTTGAAAACATTTATTTATTTGAAAGTCAGAGATACAGAGAGAAGAAAGGAGAGAAAGAGACAGAGAAATCTTCCATCTACTGATTCACTTCCCAGATGGCCACAACTGATGGGGTAGGTCAGGCTGAAGCCAGGAGCCAGGAGCCAGGAGGTTCACCTGGGTCTCTCATGTGGATGCCAGGGGCCCAAAACACTTGGGCCATCTGCTGCTGCTTTTGCCAGGTCATTAGCATGGAGCTGGATTTGAAGTGGAGCAGCTGAGACAGGAACTGGCACCTATATGGGATGCCAGCACCACAGGCCATGGCTCTAACCACTATACCACAATTCCAGTACCCATCCCATTTTCTTGTTTTTAATAGAAAGCAAGTTTTTTTTATGACCCACATTATTTTAAAAAAGTAAATTTAATCTCTAAAAGGTTGCAGTTTTTTTCATTAAGAGGTTTAAGTCAAAGGGAATTTAAAAAATTAGTGGGCTTAATCCAGTCTAATAAGTATTCGGATTAATAAAGTAGAGTGCTTAGATTCAATTGCTAAAATTCATTATCTATTTATAATGTTGCAGAATATTTCTTCCTACTTATCCATATTCTATACAATATTAACCATTTATACAATGAGATCAGAAACTATATTCCCCTGAATCAATATCTTACAAATAATTATATAATAAAATGTTCTGAAAATCAAGACAGTTAAACTGAAATCGAAATCGCAAGTAAGTGTATCTCATTAAAAATTAAGAGTTTCATCAACAGTATAATTGAGCATTTTAATCTGATAATGGTAGCTTTTAATTTATGAAATGATAACATGTTAATCAGATCAATTCTTCTCCTCTAGTATTTCCACTCATTTCAAGTAGATTATCTAGTTATCACATTTTTCTAATTTATTTTCCCTAATTTTCCAACTTGTTTTTCTTCAAAATTTCACTTGCTGACCAATAAAACATTTATTAACTAATTCATCATTAAGCAGGCATATCAAATATAACTGTAAAAGCAGGGACCAGTACAGTGGCACAGTGAATCAAGCCACTGCTTACAACATGGGCATCCCACATGGGCACTGGTTCCACTCCCAGCTGCTCCACGTCTGATCCAGCTCCCTGACAACACACTTGGGAAAGCATCAGAGGATGGCCCCTGCACTCACGCGGGAGACCTGGCTGGAGTTCCAGGCCCTGGACATTAAGGGCATTTGCAGAGTGAACCAGTGGATGGAATATCTCTATCTCTTTCTCTCTCTTTTTTTTTTTTTTCCTCTTGCTGCAACTCTACCTTTCATATTAATAAATAAATCCTAAAAAAAAAAAAAGTTCAGGAACCACACTGAAAGAAACTAAAGTGAAATGAATATTTGTAAGTATTATGTAGTAACCAGTATTAAAGTAATCAAACATGTCTTGTTTTGTAATATCATATGAAATTATGAATGACAAAATGAGTTAGCTACCATAATGCACCACATGGTAGTTATTACAACTTACCTGATTATGATACTGTAGATAATATTTAACCAACAAATAGAAACTTTCTCTTTTAAATGGAATTAAATGTTTTCAATTAAAATTAATGATAAACTTAAATATCAATGGTTTAAATATATTTGGTTATACCAATCAGAATTAGAAATTATTCAGTAAATTGGAATGGTACAATCATAGCAATTAAAGTTTATAAGAAATGGACAATTAAAGTTTATAAGAAATAATTACTTTGTTCCAAAATAATCTATTTTCCAAACTGGACCCCTTGATGAGTGAAAGGGAGCATTGCTAATAATTGCACAAGATTTTGTTCTTTCCTGGACCAGGCAAGAAATATGATCACCCTACGAGTGATGCTATCTTTTTTAAACTAATATGAAAATATTCCTTGCAAGTAGAAAACTTTTAGTAGTATAAATTAGAAAATATTCATTTATTTGAAACATCATTTTAGTAATTTAAAGGCAAAAGAAACTCAGGAGTGACCTAAATTCAAACTATCAACTAGTTCATTACGTGAAAAAACTAGTATAATGGAAAACTACATACAGAAATTAGTCAACTAAGCTCTATGTTTATATCACTAAAATATTATCAGGTTAAAAGGATAGGTATGGGGAGAAGCCAACAGATATTCTATGCTCTTTTGAATAAGTCACGATGCACAGAGAAAATACATTATTAAAATGGTTCAGTTGAAAGAACATACATTGAGTACATGTTAGACTTATCATCTTAAGGAGAAGCATTCCTAAAAGACATATATTTTTTGCTGCTGCTTAGAGTTACATGTGAGTTGTTTTTTATTTAAAGTGACCCATCGTGCTGGCACTGTGGTATAGCAGGTAAGGCTGCTGTGTGCTGTGACAGCATCCCATACGGGTGCCTGCTCAAGTTCTGGCTGCTCCGCTTCTGATCCGGCTCTCTGCTATGGCCTGGAAAAGTAGTAAAAGATGGCCCAAGTCCTTGAGTTCCTGCACCCACATGGGAGACCTGGCAGAAACTCCTGGCTCCTGGCTTCGGATCAGCAAAGATCCCGAAGTTGCGGCCATCTGGGAAGTGAACCAGCAGAAGGAAGACTTCTCTCTCTCTCTCTTTCTGCCTCTGCCTCTGCCTCTCTGTAACATATTTTATTTTTAAATTTTTTTTATTTTTTGACAGGCAGGATAGTGAGAGAGAGAGAGAGACAGAGAGAAAGGTCTTCCTTTTGCCGTTGGTTCACCCTCCAATGGCCGCCGCGGCCGGCGCACTGCGGCCGGCACATTGCGCTGATCCGAAGCCAGGAGCCAGGTGCTTTTCCTGGTCTCCCATGCGGGTGCAGGGCCCAAGTACTTGGGCCATCTTCCACTGCACTCCTGGGCCATAGCAGAGAGCTGGCCTGGAAGAGGGGCAACTGGGACAGAATCCGGCGCCCCTACCGGGACTAGAACCCGGTGTGCCGGCGCCGCAAGGCGGAGGATTAGCCTAGTGAGCCACAGCGCCGGCCAATGTAACTCTGTCTTTCAAATAAAATAAATAAATCTTAAAAAAATAATAAAGTGACCCACCCATTCCAATGGTTGTCTGAATAACACTCTCATCTTTGATTATATCCACCCCTCTCATCTACCTGCTAATTAAATTATGTGATTTTATATAGGACAAATCGAAAAGCAGACATTAAAGGCTGTAACAAATTGGAGAGGGAAGATTCATCACATATACTGCTACTGCCAGCAAGAAACAGTTTAGACAATTACTAAAATTATAGTCACAACCGCTTTATTTCAAAATTGTTAAGAAACTTTTGAGGGAAGTTATGGGGCGGGGGGGAAAGCCATTGTAATCCAAAAGCTGTACTTTGGAAATTTATATTCATTAAATAAAAGTTAAAAAAAAAAAAAGAAACTTTTGAATACTGAATGCTTTTAGAGCTGAATGGCTAATATCAGACAAGTTGCAAGCAGATGTTATTTTTAAAAACTGTGATTATATCTTAGAGGTAGAGCTAAAGACAATTTTTCCAGTGTTAGGTTTGTGGCTATCCATTTGCTGAAGCTTTCAGGCTAGAGAGAAAGGGTCAAATACATTGAATTGCTGAATTTTCTGATATATGTGTGTTTTGAAATTATTAATGTATACTTAATAATTTCTATTTTTCCATTTCAAAAATTCATTTCTTCTAGCTATGAATTAACATATGTGTGGAATTGGTAATGATATGAATGAATATTTTTAATCAAATCATGAATAATCGAAAGGGACTGTTTGTGTTTCTCTGTAATTTTATTCATTCACTGTATTTAATCATTTTAGTGGGTCACAGAAATGTTAGATGTAAGCCAATTTTCTTAATGTCTGAGCTATAGATCAAAAAGTATTTTTAATGAAAAATAGTCAAATAGCTACCTTCTTATAATTTAGTACATATATATAATTTCAATAAAAGTGACATATAAATTTAATACTGTGGAGTCTTATTTTTTATAATTTGCAAAGTATGTTTTTAATCTGTGGGGGAAAATGTGGACATTTAAACAATTTAAAAATTTATTATATTAAATTAATGACAAGAATGAATTGATATGTATGCTGTTAAAATTATTTAAAATGTAATTCTTGGTATACTACAAGTAGCATGCAATTTTCTGTTCAAAATTATTTTAGATAATACATTAAAATGACCACTTAATAACTATAAATGTTCATATTTGCATACTTGTTCAGTAGGAAAAAAACCATTCTTTATAGTTTATGACAGTATAAACCACAGAAGGCAAAGCAATAAATTAAGCTTGTGAAGCTGCCCGATCTATTTTTGTAAGTGAAAGAAGGAACAGCCTACACTAAGCTTACGTGATTGCGTGAGGCTGCACTCCAGTGACAATTTCCAGACTCTGAGATCAGTAACCTACTCCGGTGCTCATTCAAATCTGTAATGAAGTTCTCAGTCAGCACATTTCTTTATATATAAAGTGAACCTATCATATAAGAATTTGAGCCTGTAACTCCCTGTAGAAGTAA